TCCCAAAACACCTGTCTTCTGGCCATCACTACTAGTTTGTTGAGCAATATACAGGGTTCGTTCAAAGCACATTTTATTGCAAAATACACGAGTTTGCCTTGCCGACATAAATCACAAACCATTGACGGAAGATAATTGTTATTTTTATGCGAAATACGAAGGGTCACGTTTGTTTCTTCTAAACAAATTCAAACATTTCGTATTTGTGAGTAATTGAACAGACTCGCTATGATATTCGAAAAACATGCGTTATTATACACATTTTAAAACAAAGCGGATGTGTCCATCTCCTTTTGTTGCGAAGAAAACAATTTTTTTTCAATATTTTCTCATACTTTGTATACCTACATATTTAGAGCTGAAATTTTTACACGGTCACAGTGAGCCTTGAAGTTTATAAAAAAATATATATTGCAACACGCTGAACTGTTTATAAAGTTAGCACGCAAACAGAAGACACAATTAAGTTTCAAACTGTCGTAGACTAGTTAATACCATATGTAGGATGTGCTAAATGGCTGCCTTGTTGATGACTGCATGACTTTGTCAAATGTTACGAAGAAATATAATTTTCTGGATGTTTTTTCTAAAAGTATTACTATAGTATACGTCTATTTTTGAAATCTCGTACGGTTAAAACGACTGCGAGTTGAAAGTTGGAAAATAATCTCGAGCAAACGAAAAAACAGTAGACAAATTAAATATCAACCAATTGTAGCAAACGGACCGTCTGAAAAATTGGGCAAAATACTCGGAATTAATCATTAATACATTATTTACAGTTTCAGCATTGTATCTTGTATAGTTTTCAAGGGTATTCTAATTGTTTACATATTTGATATGCCTCCAACGTTAGCTTGACATTTGTCAGTGTCAAGTATATTGGTATAAAGGTCCAGTAAACCAAGTGGCGTAGTGTAATGGGAAAGAGCGACGATTGCATATCCGCGGGACGGAGGTTTGAATCCACAAAGCTCGTTTTTTTCTTGCATTTTTTTAAATTTGGAAAAATAAACGCTTTTTCACATTATATGTACTTTTATTGAGATCAAATGCACGCCATAGCAATATAAGCTTCAAACAGGAAAAAAGTGGTGTGCGTATGATTGTTTATAGTTTTTTTTATATTACTCTGATACAATTTCAGGAACACTACTACTACTGATTCTGAAATTTTATCAAAGTAATATAAAAAAAATTATAAACTATCATACGTACACCGCTGGTTTCCTTTTTGCAAGCTTACATTGTCTATGACATGCGAAAAACTGTTTGATCGCAATAAAGGTACACATAATGTGAAAAAGCATTTGTTTCTCGAAATTTAAGAAAAAATGAATAGAAAAAAAGAGCTTTGTCGATTCGAACCCCGTCCTGCGGTTCTGCAAACGTCGCTTTTCCCTATTACACTACGACGCGTCTTGGTTTACTGGATCTTTATACTATACTTGACACTGACAAATGTCAAGCGAACGTTAGTGGCTTATCAAATCTGTTATAAACAATTAGAATACTCTTGGAAACTATACAAGATACAATGTTGAAGCTTTAAATAATGTATTAGGGATTAATACCGAGCATTTTGCGTAAAATTATCGTCGCATTAGCAGCAAGTGCCAAAATCTGCATTTTGCCTCGGCTTTCGGCCATAACCTTTTTACTATTTGTCGGATCATTTTACGTGTGGTCCATTCTGTAGGTCTCATAAATACCTAAAAATCTTATTTGAAGAGTTTTTTGGTTCCTGACAACACTTTCGATTGAATCCCAAGAAACACGTTTTCTCATTCTTTGCTGCCGAATAAAAAGTTTTCCCACAAAAATTAGCGTTCCCATTTTATACTTCCATGTTTTAAATATCCCCTTGAACAACTTGCATCAATAAAACCAGGCTTTACAATTATTTCGGTTAAATTTCCTAATTAGACCATTGACGCAAATACCTGACGCCGAGTATTGTTATTATTGTGAGTTGTTAACTTTTGTATCAATATCATCAATCAATCAATCAATATCAATAACCTTTATTTCCATACAGACAATATATAATTGTATTGGAATTGTCAATTTTTCGTTCGCTACGAACCTACAACTAATCTCAAATTGCTATGTTCAAAAATTCATCAACACGATAAAAGCACTTGTTTATCAAAAATTCCTTCAACAGGAACTTAAAGGCGTTAATATTTTTAACCGAGGTAATGTGGCATGGTAAATTATTAAAAAGAAGCGGACCAATTTTATTAGGTGATCGAAATGCCGCTTTTGATTTGCTAAAGTTTACATATAAATTATTACAAGTCCTTGTATCATAATTATGCATATCACAATTTCGCTTGAATTTTTCATTATTTTTAAAAACATGTAAGCACAATTCATATATATACAACGAAGGGACAGTTAAAATGTTGAAAGTTATAAAATATTTCTTGCAACTTTCTGTTGGTGAGATGCCTGCTAATGATCGGATGCATCTTTTTTGAGACACAAATACATCTTCAGAGCGCGTTGACCAACCCCAGAAACATACTCCATATCTTAATCTCGAATCCACATTAGCAAAATAAACTTGTATCAATTGTTCAGCTGTTAAGATGGTTTTTAATTGCCTCAACACATAGCTTTGAGAGTACATTTTTGATGTGAGAAATTCGCAGTGGGCCTTCCAATTTAAGTTCGAATCAAAATGAACTCCAAGAAATTTCACTTCTCCTCTAAAATCGAGTTGATCGTCACCCAATCTAACTTGAAACCCTTCTACAGTTTTTTGAGCGTGATGAAAACGAATAAGCGTTGTTTTGGAAGGATTCAAGTAAAGTGAGTACTGGTTAAACCATGTATTGATATTCCTAATTAAGTTGTTACATTTATCTTTCAAAATTATATTTGAATTACTTGATATTATCGCAGAAACGTCATCAGCATATGCTGTAAAATGGGTATCTGGATGAACACTATCAAACCGATTAATGTATAAGAGGAAAAAGATTGGTCCAAGAATAGAGCCCTGAGGGACTCCAATCGAAATGTCTAACGTACTTGACACAAAGTTTTTCATATTGTTCCCTGCATCAAGATATTCTAGTGAAACATATTGTTTTCTTTGGACTAAAAACGATCTGGCCCATTTAAGAGACTGACCGACAAAACCATATTTAACAACAATCTCCAAGAATCTGTTGTGATCAACGCAGTCGAATGCCCTACTGAGATCACAAAATACCCCAGTAGGGCACTCGCCCGCGTCGATGTATTCTATAAGCTTCTCATAAAAGGAATGTATGGCTGACATTGTGGTCTTACCATCTGTGAAACCATGCTGGTTTTGAGACAAAATATTGTTGTTCTTAAGATGTAGAAGAAGTCTATCCAAATAGGCATATTCAAACACTTTAGAAAGTACAGACGGCACAGTGATTGCCCTGTAGTTTGTAATATCAAGCTCGTTCCCCTTTTTTAGAATTGGTATAACTTTGCCTAGTTTCAGCCTACTTGGGAACTCTCCGCAGCAAAATGAGATATTTATAAGGTGTGTTATTGGTTTTATTATAAGATGTAATACTTCTTTTACCAGAAAATTGGGAATGTCATCAAAACCGCAAGATTTGGAATTTTTTAATTTTTTCAAAAGTAAGTTACTGAGCTCATTATCTGTATAAGGGTAAAGTTTGAAATAATTTTTGACATTAAATTTGAAATCAGCTGCACTATGTGAGGTATTAATTTGTTGTATTATATCATCTGGAGCATTTTTAAAAAAATCATTGAACATATTTGCCAACAGCTGAGGGTCGTACACTTTTTCATTTTGATCTTTATGTAGAACTATATTTTTTCGAACTTTGTTCTCATTTTTTGTTGCATTGACCACTTGCCAGCACGCTTTGGTGGTATTTTTAGAGAATACAATTTTGTTTTGGTAGAATGATCTTTTTGCGTCTCTGATCAATTTTTTATGTGCCTTTTTAGCATCATTATACAGTGACTTTAGTCTTGGATTTATTTGTGAAGTATGATATAAATCTTTCAAATTATTGCTTGAATTTCTTACGTTATGTGTAACCCAACTTTTTGAGCCGTTTCCCTTACAGGCTTTATGTAAAGGGAAATGCTTATTAAAATAGTACAAAAAGATATTAAAAAAATTTCCAAACGACTCAGAAACTGTAAAGCTAGAGTAAACTGACAGCCAAGATTCGTTTAATAAAGATTCTTTACAGTCGCTAATTGCGTTTTGATGAAAACTTCTTTTGTTCAGGTAAATTTTGTCCGATTTCTTGGAGCAAAGATCGAAGTCCCCCAGAGTCGTTCTATGATCTGAAACTGTATTATCATAGACACAGGAAACGAACTGAGTAATATTGGTAAAAACGTGGTCAATGCTCGTGGCCGAAGTATCTGTCACTCGGGTTGGCCAACCGCCTTTATGATACAAACCAAACATAGAGAAAATATTACACAATTTCATAAAATTAATACATTTTGACTCATAACAATTAAAATTAAAATCGCCACATACAATCAATAAATAATGAGGATCGAAAACAGTATTTAAAATTTCTTCAATTTTTTCTAAAAATACGCCTACGTCACCATTAGGTGAACGGTAGCAATTTATTATTTTAATTTTTTTGTCTGAAATGGTACAAGATATTGAACAAACTTCAATGTCCAATTCAAAACAATATTTATTCAGATCTATTGGCTTGTATTGTAAATCTTTACGAATGTATATACAACTATGTTATTCTAAGCATTCATACAAAAAGAGCGGGCGTCAGTTTAGACTGGGATACCCACGAACAAAAGTGCCAAAGATTCGAATATCTATGGTAGTTTTTAGTTTTTGGTTACAGTTACACCAATGGCGTAATAAATCGATCGTAGGCGGACAGTCTTAGAGCTTCAGAGCTTTTGTAAAGAGGTGGGTCATTAATGATTGAATTGGATCGCAGACTAAAATAGTTCTGATGTATCGAAATATGAGATGTAACACCAACCTGGTCTAGTATTGCAATCGTTCCCCCCACTAGAACTATTGCTCCTCTCCGGCGGCAGCATCGAAGCCATAATGTTCAAGTTCGGATGATAAAACTCTAACATAGCACTGATGGTGTTGCGTAGCACTGTTTACGTATACTTTCGGGAACAATCCCGCGATACACGTGATCTACCTTTAGTTCACGGATTTTTCCGCAGCGTATTATTCACGCGGCAGGTTTGACGGGGTTGAAGCGACGCACACCGCTGGTCTCATCGCACTGAGACGCCTAGCGTCGGGACGGTCGGCGCCCGCGCCCTTCGCGATCTGGGCGGACAGGCAACGCCTATTCGACGCTGGGCGGATACACGGCAAGTTATCACAAAGGGTTTGTTGGGGGTGGGGGACAGCCTGCAACGGAGGGTAATAACGGCGTGGTGCGACCTTAGGAACCATAACGTGCACGAGGCGGCCGAGGGTGAGATTATGGACCTTTTGCTGGAGAATATAACTGAAGGAATTAGTTGCTTGGGTTTTTTCGATGGTGGGGTCGTTTTCAGTGGAAGTGGAAAAATCCGAGAATGACGTATTATGTTTTTTGAATGTTACATGAAACGTACATCAGTAAAAAGTGTCTTGGTAATTTACTTCGGTTAACCTGCTTATCCGTTAATCCCCTTATAATTTGGTAAATACTGCTCGAATTTTGAAATTTTGACACAAGATTACCATAATGTCAAGGTTAAAAAGAATCAATCCAGTAGCAAGCGAGCTGCGGGCAATGAACAAAAAAACACTCACTCAAACTTGTTTTGGATGGAAGTCACTGGTGCTTTTACTTCCCACAGATGCCCTGAATGTTAGGTTCTTTTTTGGGCATATTGTTAAGTAAAAATTATATATGATCAATAACAATTTCTCATAAGTTCTTGTAAGTTTGCAACATAGATTGGTAAAACCAAGTCAATATGTCTACTAAATAACCCTATAGCACACCTTGATGTTACAAGAATTTTTTCAGTAAATCTTCGTCTAGATTTCCACATTAGCACTAACTTATTTGGGAGTAAAAATTTCTATTCTTACGAACTTGTAAGTGGAAGTGTCTTAACTGAAGTTGAAATTACTTGAAAATAACATATGTCTTTATAGTTATAGTCTCAGAAATAGTTTTTCATGGTAATTTGGTTGCCCCTTCCCCATTACTGATCTTTGATGACTGTTTGGTTCTAGGTTCCTTTAATAATCAACGTGCACTTGCCTATGCGTACTAGTTTATTCGGAATGTATTTAAATCTAATTTAAAAAGAAGGTGTCTGAAAATTTATACCGGAAGAGGCCTAAGGCTTATAGGCATACCTCATAGTAGTGTCGGACTATTAAAAGAGACTTAGCCATCACGTTTTTTTTTTTTTTAAATATGCATGCGCGTTCAATTCAGAAGTAAGTATTGAAGTAATGCATGATGGGTTCCCAATTTACCAGCGTGGTCGGTGATCTCGATCTCTTTTACTGGTATGCCAGCTGACTACTCCTCTGAGGTCTTCTTCATGGTGCACGCTACACATATCAGATGGACCTGTCAGGCTTCCGCTATTCCTTACATCCTTTTTAATCCGGCAGAAAGATCTACCAACGGCAGTGTTATCCTGCAGGGGTGCGTTTTTAAATCACTTGGTGATGTAATACCGTACACAGTAATGGAATGTAGATTGTCAGATGAAATTTTACTCTGGAATATTGTGAAACTTTATTTTTAGAACGCCTAAATTGTAACAGTCATATAATGACACTTGGTGACAGCCGATTAATTTCTAACCACGTTTTCTGGGACCACTTTGTTTATTATAAGAAACGGTGTGGATGCGGAGCAACTCATTCATAGTGAAAAATTTATATTCTGTCAATGTTGAGCACTTCCTAATAACCAAATAAAGTAAACAAAGTACAAAGTATACTCAATATATATATATATATATATATATATATATATATATATATATATATATATATATATAATTACTTGTTAATTGGGAAATTGGCAAAACTTTTAGGCTTAAGTTGACTCTTTTGACGATAAAATCAAGCTTTCGGCATTCTCTATGGAGCCATCAATTTCGTCGGTGAGGTTGCAGCCACAAGGTGTTTCAGAAAGAACGTAGAGAAGATCGAACTTGTGTTCAGTATAAAAACAAAAGGACGGGGACATTGGGCTTGTTGGAAAACGACAGATAGCTTCGTTAAAAGTTAAGAAAAAATAAAAATTATATCAGTACACCCGAACAAGTTAAAAATATTACACGTGGGGAGACAATCGGAATGCCTCCCTCAACAAAATGTCTCCCCACGTGTAATATTTTTAACTTGTTCGGGTGTATTGATATAATTTTTATTTTTTCTCAACTTTTAACGAAGGTATCTGTCGTTTTTCAACAAGCCCAATGTCCCCGTCCTTTTCTTTTTATACTGAACACAAGTTCGATCTTTTCTACGTTCTTTCTTAAACACCTTGTGGCTGCAACCTCACCGACGAAATCCTGATGATGGCTCCATACAGAATGCCGAAAGCTTGATTTTATCGTCAAAAGAGTCAACTTGAGCCTAAAAGTTTTGCCAATTTCCCAATTAACAAGTAATTGTATTTTGTACCCAACTAGTCGTTGGCTTTGGCAATGACTACTGCTCATATATATATATATATATACAAAGAGAATATGATCATGCGGAGCAAGGTATATAACAACAAGTAGGAAAATAATGGGCAAAATCCGCAAAAAGGAGGAAAGTGGATTCGAGCAGAAAATAGGACAGGTAACCCGAGCGATACGTATATCTGCTGGTTGGCTTCATCAGGCCCGAAATGAATGCACATATGAAACTACAAAAGTAGATACACATGCCCACACATCCGGATACGGGTGTAACCTGAGGAAACGAAGTTGGAGGAAAAAAAAACGACACACGAAGTCCACAACAAGAGCCAACCTACACATTGTAGTATAAAATGGCTATACGACCTCGAATTTTCTAGGAGACGTCTAACCACCACCACGCGGCCGGTTATAGCCACTTGCTATGGTACTTCAAGCCCAAAGGATCTACAAAGAGAATACGATCATGCGGAGAAAGGTATATAACAACAAGTAGGAAAATAATGGGCAAAATCCGCAAAAAGGAGGAAAGTGGATTCGAGCAGAAAATAGGACAGGTAACCCGAGCGATACGTATTTCTGCTGGTTGGCTTCATCAGGCCCGAAATGAATTCACATATGAAACTACAAAAGTAGATACACATGCCCACACATCCGGATACGGGTGTAACCTGAGGAAACGAAGTTGGAGGAAAAAATGTGTAGGTTGGCTCTTGTTGTGGACTTCGTGTGTCGTTTTTTTTCCTCCAACTTCGTTCTCTTTGTAGATCCTTTGGGCTTGAAGTACCACAGCAAGTGGCTATAACCGGCCGCGTGGTGGTGGTTAGACGTCTCCTTGAAAATTCGAGGTCGTATAGCCATTTTATACTACAATGTGTAGGTTGGCTCTTGTTGTGGACTTCGTGTGTCGTTTTTTTTTTCTCCAACTTCGTTTCCTCAGGTTACACCCGTATCCGGATGTGTGGGCATGTGTATCTACTTTTGTAGTTTCATATGTGCATTCATTTCGGGCCTGATGAAGCCAACCAGCAGAAATACGTATCGCTCGGGTTACCTGTCCTATTTTCTGCTCGAATCCACTTTCCTCCTTTTTGCGGATTGTGCCCATTATTTTCCTACTTGTTATATATATATATATATATATATATATCTAATATATATATATATATATATTTTACGAACGCAGCCCAGTATTGTAAATCTATCCCTTATTGAAACAGCAAAAAAAAGCTGTAAAAAAAGCTGAAAATCCTCAGTGGCAGACCAGAGCACAGGAACTGCTAGAATGGTACTGACAGGCGTGCTCAAAAAAACATGCTTATAAGCTTGCTTAAAATTCGCATGCTCTGCAAACTGTTCACATTTCCCAGCAATAAGCATGATTGTTTTAAGCATACTCCTAGATCGGCATGCTCAAAGCAAACGTACGGACAGACGTGTTATTTGGCACCAGGCTCTCGGACAAAATGGATGTACAAGTATATAGTGACAGTGCTATCCGCACATAACTTAATAAAATAATCATATTGCTTGCAACGGAATTGTGTAAGAACATTTTGGTAAAAAATAAAAAACAAAAAAGAAGAGGAGAATTTGGGTAAGTAATTGGATAAACAGAAGAGAATCAATGAGAGCAAATAATCGATTGTTGGCAGAGATGCGAAGCGAAGATCTCGACAGTTATAAAAATCATTTGCGCATACTCCCGCATAAATTTGATGAGCTACTTTATAAAATTGAGAGTGTCATACAAAAACGAAACACTTGTATGCGAGATGCTATTCCAGTTAAAGTAAAACTAGAAATTACATTGAGATATTTAGCTGTCGGAGATTCTTTGTAGACATTATCAGCACTCCACATGGTTGGAAGATATACAATATCTGAATTTATTCCTGAAGTTTGTACTGCAATATCCATGGCTTTAAAGGATTACCTTCGGGTAAGTAAATCAATGTTGTATGAATATTTGAAAAGGTTTTATTTAGTTTTATAATGTAATCATATTTCGAATATAAATCAAGATGGCACCAAATAATATTTGTAACACGTTTTCATATTTAGAATAATAATCAAAATAGCGAATAATTTACGAAAGTTTCCATGCCTCACTCAACAAATCTATTTGGGAATGATCTTGTTGCGATTGGGCATTGCATGTATCTGCGTCATTTTGTATGTTTGAGGGTGGAAGTGTAGAATAGTTCGAAGCACAAGTGCCTGGTTGAATGTTTGAATATGAAAGGATGTGACTGTTCGAAGATTGAAGGATGTTCGTTTGCGTGTTCGAAGCTGAGAGTGTTGAAGTGATGGGTTGAATGTTTGAAGGTGAATTATTGTAGGTTTGTGTGCTCGTATTTGGAAGTACAGATAAATTAGGATACATATTTCGACGTCTAGCCGCAGTCAGAATTGCTTGTATTTCATTTTGTACGCCTAATGCTTCATACAATGGAAGTCGCCGCAGTTGAGGCAATCAAAAAAAATGAAACTCATCTTCTTCGTTTCGGTTGTTTATCGCGGAAGATATATTTTGTAAGCGACTTAGAGCCTCAGCAACACCAACTGTTTCGCCTATTTTTTTTCACTTTTTTTCGCCTTCC